TCGTCTGCAAAGGAAAGGTCTGGATGCCTTTGCTTCAGTCTGCATACGCGGGCTATTTATTTGTCATCCATCCTCATGGGTGAGGTTGATTCCAGGCCGTTTTTTGTGGTGGGCATGGGACTGTCTGCGTCCGCAATCGCCAGTGTGGGGTCACCAATGCCCGAGACGCAACTGTCGACGACGCAAATACTCTTAAGCCAGAGGTCAAGGAGACAGAGTTGGTTAATCAGACTTTGCTGGGACGAAGGAGCGTAAACGCGCCCCAGAAGGCAGTGACAACAGATCGCCTTGCCGGCTGAGCCCGCCGTTGAGGTTGTTAGTTCGGCGAAAAGCACGTGCGTGTGCAAGGGCCCTGCATGCCTTAAGCCAATCGGTGAAGGGTGCTGCGTCGGTAGGTCTCAAGATCTCTCCGCGTTTGCCACATGTTACGCGCGGATCCAGCAATTGGTTGACGGGGAATGTTAGGTGGAATGGATGGCCGTCGCGGGAGTAGACAGCCTATGACGTCTATCAACATGGAGAAAACGGGACAGAAGAGAGGGGTGGCCAGTACAGAGGCCTGCTTTGACCATTTGTTGCGGCAAATGTTTCCCAGACTGACCAGTTTTCGATAATGTATCCTACTATGCCACTGCGCACATGTTTGACTATCGACGTAAATCGTCTAGACACCAGCAATTCGGCGTTATTTCTCAAAAATTCAAAAACTTTGCTTTATCTACAATGGTGACTTAGGAACTTACACGCGTTCATCTGTATTTTTTCTGCAGCTAATCCCTCGCAAATATTCTGCCTGTAGTATTACTGGGTTTCTGATGTCAGTATTACATTTGCAGGAGCGTCTGGCTCATGTACGTGCATAAGCAATTATTTAACACTCGAAAAGATACGTTAGCAATTATGTTAAGCAGAATTCACGGTTGTGGTCGCAGATATGCCTGTTCCCAGCCCGTTTGTATAGATGAATAAATGGATGAAATTCTGCGGGGTTCGTCCTTGTCGCCACACCTAACGTAGTAGTGTTCGTTTCTCAATGATTTGAGGACTGCTATGCTTAAACAGTTCACCTGGAAATGGGCCGGTGCCCATACTTTCTACTGCCCACCTGTTGTATTCCTCTGTCTCCAGTGGGAAAGGCAGACGTTTAATGTCAGTCTTGGTATCCACTGTAGGTCCGTTGGCGGCTTGTAGACTGCAGATGGGCGGTCAGGGAATCTGTGATTTATCTCTCAGTAGGACTTCGCAGATATAACTGCATATTAGCCATAGGTTACTTTGATTGTCGTGAGGAAATTCTTCACTTCATTGCAGCTTGCGTATCTTTGGACTTTTCCGTCCTTGTTGGATAGCAACCTACTTCGCGGCCATCTGTCACCCATGCACTGAGCTTCGGGAATCGAAAGTACTTGGCGTTATTGGTGTCGGCCCGCTTGCCGGCATAGGTCGAGTGTAACCTGTCTCTCCCGGATACCTAACGTGGAATTTCATCATCTTTATCGTTAAGTCAGTCTTGATGCCGCTGGTGTGTACACCACAGGGCTTTCGAAGCAATGGTAGGTGACGTTCCACAATCTCTGCCGATTTGATCGACATCACGGCCCTCCACCCCCTGGACATGAATTCGTCCCAGATTAATGTCTATGCGTTTTTTAAAGCCAAACATGCATTCAGACATGTCCAACATTATTGCTTCTAACCTATTTGGTGACTTTCATGGAGGCCACCTCACCCTTGAGTTCGAAATGCAGCAGTCTGTTCAGCATCCCGCGTCACACAGCACCTTCGCCACTAGCGCATCATACTGACCTCGCCGCCAGACAGACACATAGTCTATCAGTTGCCAGTGACGCGAATGATGGTGCGTCCACGTCTTCTAGCAGTTTTGGTTAGGAGGTTATCATGATCCGAGTTCAACTTGGCCCTTCTCGGGACTGAGTCAGGCTGCAATGACTTATTCCTGATGTGGTCTGTGTGACATTCTCATCCGTGTGAGATCTGAGCCGCTGTTCTTGTAGCTTGTCAGGTCTACACCGGGGGTTAGATCGTTCGTGGCACGCGTATACGGGTCGTCTAGTTGTGTCAGCGCGCCCACATTCGGCTTTCACCGTTCCCCTATCGGAGCAAGAGGGGCGTGATGAGAGAGGGTGCGGCGGATGTTGCGAAATCTGTTTTACTATAAACTAATTCACACGCAAATCACCGCTGAGAACTCTGTAGGAACAGGCGATGGGCGCCGCCGCTTGCAACGGTCGAACCATCATGTTCTGTGCATGTCTGCGGACGAAGACCGCCACTTCCGCAGCTGCCGGATCTGTGGCATCCAAGCTCTACAGGGTGCCGTGGTCTGTGTCTACGCGGGCATTAGCGTTGCCGAGGGCAATCAGCTTGTCCGCCTTCGGCACAGATGTGTAGCAGCCGCTCCAGTGCCCCATCATACGACTCCGTTTTGTTGGTCGATGGCCGCGACAACTGTTGACAGGCCGTTGACGCACGGTCACCCCCCGCCGGCTAGATCCGAGGCACGTACTGTCCAGCTGCAGTGACCTCACGCGCGTCAGAAGGCCTGGCTTGATACACGTGAGCCCTTGTGAGTATATACCCCCCCCTATCCCTCCCCTAATCCGTCCAATCACATGACCAACACTCAGCCAGCCACCCCTTCCTGCTGGCACAGGCATGCACTCCTGCTTAAACGACACACCGCGACTGACGCTCTCCGGGAACGGAAGCTTAGCTCTGTCATAAGCCAACTCAGGCCAACCTGGCCTGTGTACAGAATAAACCTGTTCTCGCTGCTCTCTGACTTCTGGCATAGAACGGAGCGAAATTATTGTGTGCGGTTACAGTTGATCTTACATCCTTGACCGCCACACACGCGAGGTATTCGAACATTCGCAGAACGTGTATTCCGTATTGCCAGCGCCTGTTCTTGCGGATGTGTAGGCTCTGGTGGTCGTGCCGAATTGCTTTCAACAAGGTTAGTGCCTCATTCTAGTGAGATGATTGTCGATTCCTTGCGAGAGGCAGTACAACAGTCTTGTCATGTCATTCTTCACGGCGAAGATGATTCCAGCATCTCCCCAACAATTGTATCTAACA